CCTGCTGCAGTTGCATCGTCTCATGTTCATCAGGAAGATATGACCACTCTCTGGCACATGAGACTGGGGCATATGAGTGACCGGGGGATGCAAGTTCTATCAAAGAGGGATCTTCTTTGCGGGCACAAGATGCAAAATTTGGAATTCTGTGCGCATTGTGTGTTTGGGAAGCTACATCGCAGCAAGTTTCCCAAGAAGGGTATCCACCGGACGAAGGGGATACTAGATTACCTCCACTCCGACTGTTGGGGTCCTTCACGAGTTGAATCCATTGGAGGCAGCAGGTATTTTCTGTCTATTATTGATGATTATTCGAGATTTACTTGGATTTTCATGATGAAGAAGAAAAGTGAGGCTTTCACGAAGTTCAAGCAGTGGAAGACATTGGTGGAGAATCAGACCGGGAAGAAGATCAAGAAGCTGCGAACGGACAATGGTCTGGAGTTCTGTAATTCTGAGTTCAACGAATTCTGCAAGGATGAAGGGATTGCCCGTCATCGGACTGTGAGAGATACACCCCAGCAGAATGGCGTTGCAGAAAGGATGAACCAGACGTTGCTGGAGAGAGCACAATGCATGCTCTCTAATGCTAGACTAGAGAGAAGATTCTGGTCAGAAGTAGTGAACATGGCGTGCTTCCTGATCAACCGTGGACCTCACACAGGTATTGAGTTGAAGACTCCTTATGAGGTGTGGTATGGTAAGCCTGCTGATTACTCTTCATTGAAAGTTTTTGGGTGTCATGTTTATTATCATGTGGATGAGGGTAAACTGAACCCAAGGGCAAAGAAGGGTGTATTTGTGGGTTACGGAGATGGAGTTAAGGGATTTCGAGTCTGGTCACCTTCTGAGCATCGGGTTATACTCAGTAGAAATGTGATATTTGATGAGAAGTCTATGTTGAACCCCATGTTGAAGGTTACTGTTGTTGAAGGTAGCAGGAATGTTGATAAGCAGGTGGAGCTGCAAACTCTCAAAGAGAGTGAGTTTGAGCACCAAGGTGGAGAAGATCAACATGATGAGGATGTCTCTGCAGAGCCAGAAACTTCAGAGTCCAGTGCACGAGCTCAACAGTCTATTGCTTCCGGTAGACCGAAGAGAGCGACTGCATGAGTACCTCCACAGAGGTATGGCTTCGAGGACATGGTGGCGTATTCATTTCAGGTTGCTGAAGAAGTGGATGCAGGAGAGCCACAGTCCTATAGAGAAGCAGTTTCGGGTGGTGAAGCTGATCAGTGGCTTGCCGCAATGGGAGATGAGATGGAATCCCATGACAGGAATCAGACTTGGGAGCTAGTCAAACGACCACAGGGAAGGAAGATTGTTACAAACAAGTGGATCTACTAGAAGAAGGAAGGAATCACTTCTAATGAGGGCATGAAATTTAAAGCTCGAGTGGTTGCACGAGGTTTCTCGCAGAGGGAAGGAGTTGACTACATTGAGATTTTCTCACCAGTGGTCAGACATACTTCGATCAGAGTGCTACTAGCAATAGTGGCACATTATGACTTGGAGCTCGAGCAGCTAGACGTGAAGACAGCTTTCCTACATGGAGAGTTGGAGGAAGAAATTTACATGACTCAGCCAGAAGGATTCGAGGTTCCGGGAAAAGAAGACTATGTTTGTAAGCTGAAGAAGTCCTTGTATGGACTTAAGCAGTCTCCGAGGCAGTGGTACAAGAGATTTGACAGTTACATGCTTGAGCTGGGCTATAGCAGAAGTCCATATGATTGTTGTGTGTATCACAACAAGGTGGAGGATGGTTCGATGATCTATCTTGTTCTGTATGTGGATGATATGCTCATAGCTGCGAGGTCAAAGTCTGATATCCAGAAGTTAAAGGGGCTGCTCAGTGCTGAGTTTGAGATTAAGGATTTGGGAGCTGCTCAGAAGATCTTGGGTATGGAGATTTACAGGGAAAGGTCAAAGAAGAAGCTTTTCTTGTCACAGAAGAGCTACATCCAGAAGATACTGTCGAGGTTTGGCATGTCTTCAGCAAAGCCCTTAAATACTCATAGTGCTTCAAATATTCATCTATCCTCAGCTTATGCACCGCAATCAGAGGCTGAGAAGGAATACATGTCAAGAGTCCCATATGCTAGTGCAGTAGGTAGCTTGATGTACGCTTTGGTATGCACTAGACCTAATCTTGCACATGCTGTTAGTGTTGTCAGCAGGTTTATGATACAACCTGGGAAGGAGCATTGGCAGGCTGTGAAGAGGATCTTCCGGTACCTTAAGGGTACAACTGATGTGGGGATTAGCTTAGGAAGTGATACAGAGTGCTTGGTGTCTGGGTATTCTGACTCGGACTATGCTGGAGATGTTGACACGAGGAGATCGATGATCGGTTATGTAATCACTCTTGGGAGTTCTGTAGTGAGCTGGAAGGCAACTTTGCAGTCGGCGGTGACATTGTCTACTACTGAGGCAGAGTATATGGCGTTGACAGAAGCTGCTAAGGAGGGAATATGGTTGAAGAGACTGGTTGGTGATCTTGGTCTACATCATGATCAGGCAGTGGTGTATTGCGACAGTTTGAGTGCAATATGCTTGGCCAAGGATCAAGTCCACCATGAGAGGACTAAGCACATCGACGTGAGGTATCATTTCTTGAGGACAGAGAAGAGGATTAAGGTGAAGAAGGTTGGCACCGCGGATAATCCTGCTGATATGTTCACGAAGCCAGCTCCACATGGCAAGTTCCAACACTGCTTGGACTTGCTGAATATCTTGAGTGGGTGACTCCGCCCTGCGGGGCATTGATGGCGGGAGAGAGATGGAAGGAGCAGAGTACATAAGAGATTTCAGAGGAAGAGGATTCAAGTCAAGGTGGATATTTGTTGATGTGACTTGAATCGGACTATCAGCCGCTCCGACTGGTAATCGGGGGTCTCGCTGTTATTTGGGTTCGCGTTCTGGGCCTGGTCTGTAACCGTTTCCTTTGCCAGATTGGATTAGGTTTAGACCCACTTGGGGAAGTACTATAAATACTTCTCATACTCCTCTGTAATCTGTAATCTCCTCGATATAGTGAAATTAGCTCTCTCTCGCCCGTGGACGTAGCTAACACACATCGTGTTAGTGAACCACGTAAATCGTGTGTCGTGTTTTCGATTCTCGCTTTAGTATTCTTGCTTTGTCGATTCCTGCGATTTCCCGATCCGTAGCAGCGCGTTTATAACACTCATAAGCGGGAGCATGTTCCCTTTTCATCCCGGTTAAGGTTGTCCCTCCATGGTCCTTAGGACTTGTAGTCTTAGTGAACTGCTGCAAGCAAATTTTAGATACAAAGTAGCTTTAAACAATGAAAGTAATTTGGTACCCTATAGCCCAACTTAAGTGAGGTGCAGCTGAAAGTTCATTTACCTGAAGTGGATCATGGTCAATGCGAACCACAGAATACTCAGCTTATGGGTTCATGAAATTGAATTGAGTTAGCTTAAATGTTAGTTTCATAGTCATGTTGACAATCTATTGGATCTGAGGCGGAATATGTTCTTTGTTCCTCTAGTTTGATTGGAATAGCACATCAACCATGACTCCAAAAAAACACAGACCTTCATGCTCTAAGATGGCAAACTCAGCTTCTCCGGTATCATCTTCCATTTGGAACTTAACCCTATACCTATGGTAAACATGGAATAAAATTAAACAAAATCATAAATGCGCATTCCTCATTCATATTATGAAATAATATACGTATTTGATATCAAAGTCACAAAGTCAAATAACAAAAATGTGCATAATGTAGGATGTACAAAGCAAGAATCAGATAATCAGCTTTACTTGGCTTTAGCAATGGAAGATGTCGTCTTACAGTGGCCACAAAACTACTCTTCCAATTCCTCTTCCACCTCCCGAGGGCACACAACACAACCCATGTAGCACCAACTAGGATGTACTTGAATCACTTTCCCTTCAACCGTGAACACATTTTCCGGAAGTTAACTCAGCAAAAAAAATTACGTTAGGAATTAGACGGGCTGAAAGGCTGCCAATTGTTTAGGAAATACCCTTATAGTCTGGTCTTCCATGTTTTTGAAATCACTGGGCTGAGCAATGAAAATCTTTGAAATATCAACAGGTGAGACATTAGCAAGCAAAATAGGTGCATTGAGAGTTGTCTCCCTAAAGTGTAAACAAAAGAGCTTCATAATGAGCTTGGACAAACATCTTATAACTGGCAGACACAAACTGAAAGCAAGTAATAGCGCAAAAAAGTAGAATTCCCGTTATAAGCTAAATAAAAGACTCGTATGAACCTGACCAGGTGCAGTAGTGAATAGGAACAACCCCTTAGGGGGTTGTGATGGTATCCCGCTCCTAATTAATTGGATTGATCATCATGATATCTTATAGAGATGATTGTTTTCCTAATGCAAGTGTAGTATATAGAATCTTATTAACTATTCCTATGACTGTTGCTACAACATAAAGAAGCTTTTTGAAGTTGAAGTTGTTACTTTTTAAACATAAATAGATGATATTATATTTTTGTAATAATTTTTTGAACTTATGTATTTTGTACTACTATTAAAGAATTTTTATTTTTGATAAATTTATGGGGAAAAATTTTAAGACCATATTTTAAATATTTCAATAGGACCTCCTCCGAATATTATAGGCCGGTCTGGGATGGATTAGATAAGTTGACGAAGATATATGTGCAGTTTGCGGGAAAACAACATACCCTATCTTATGTAATAACTAGACCAATTTAGTTTAATCAATCTGATTCCAGCTTGCTAATGATCCAAACAAGAAGCCGGCGTCCACGAATTTTGCCAATAAATCGCTTTCGCTCCAACTAGAAAAATGGCTGGAAGTAAGAATTCCCTGGAGGATATTAATCATCATTAATTGAGAAAACAACCACACGGTCTATCACAGTACTACTATTTGTTTTATTCTCTTATCAAGATTCCCTTTGCCTTTGATAAATTATTCACACAAGTAACATCCTGCTGCTATAAAATCCCCTTTTACCCCTTCCCCCCCTGTTCCGCCCCCCAAAAGCTCTGGCTACATCCTACAAACCCACCAGCCATGGCGACTACACCATCCAAACTCCCCTACCTTTCACTCTTTCTCCTCTTCGTCTTCGCTAAATCTCAACCAACATCAGCAATCGCGCCCAGATTCCCTTCCTCCATCCTCCGTCCCCACAACAATTTGCATTCCCCTGCTTTCATTTCAGCATCTCTGGACGCCAATCACAATCCGCAGCAGCTCTACAGAGAGGAATTCTTCACCCAGGTGCTGGATCACTTCACTTATACTCCCCAAAGTTACCAAACTTTCCAGCAGAGGTACCTCGTCAACGACACTTACTGGGGCGGCGCCAAGAACAAAGCTCCCATCTTCGTCTACACAGGCAACGAAGGCGGCATCGAATGGTTCGCTCGCAATACCGGCTTCATGTTCGACGTTGCCCCTCACTTCAACGCCCTACTCGTCTTCATCGAGGTAAGCTTTCTTCTCATTCGGCGGACTATATTCTGGCTTGATAGAAAAAGTTCTAAACTTCCCCATCCCTCTGGCTTTCCCAATTCTGCAGCATAGATTCTACGGGAAATCAATGCCCTTTGGTGGAGACGCAAAGAAGGCCTACAAGGACGCCACCACGCTGGGATACTTAAGCTCTACTCAGGCGCTAGCCGATTTCGCCACGCTCATTGTTGACCTGAAGAAGAACCTTTCAGCTGTTGATTCTCCTGTTGTGGTCTTCGGCGGATCCTACGGCGGAAGTAATTCAGTTGCTTTTGTCAATTGAGGTTTTGATTTGGATAATGGGTTAGTCAATAGATCATTGTGTTTATGGTTTACTAACCTGGGGGAATCGAATGGAATGGCTGGTCGCAGTGCTGGCAGCGTGGTTCAGGCTCAAGTATCCGCATGTGGCCATAGGAGCATTGGCGTCTTCTGCACCAATCCTCGACTTCGATGATCTAACCTCCCCATACAGCTTCGCCTCCATAGTCACTCATGACTTCAGGGTTTGTCCTCTTTCTTCTTCCCTCCCCTGCTCTTTTAAATGTTGGCTCTCCCGAAAAGACAATATGGGCGGCCGCTGCAGAGGCCGTGGATATAGCCATTTCCCACCGCAAGCTTCCAAATTTCCCTCCTGCGTCTCGCATTCATTGTTCCCTACAGGACAAACAGCAGTACAAAGACAACTCTCTGCCGTAGTTTAATTCACATTCATTGCAATCGGCCCAAAGAGTGAAAGGGAAGACCGAGATTACCTTGGCGTTCTAATTTGTGATTAACTGCTTGATACGCAGAGTGAGAGCGAGAGCTGCTACAGGGTGATTAAGGAATCATATGATTTGATTACCCACACGGCAACGCAATCAGGAGGAGTCGAGAAGCTCCGCAGTTCCTTTCACCTATGCAAGTAAAGTAGCACCACACACAAAAAAATTAGCTCATTCAGGCATTTCGTCGAGCAGTTTGTGATCAAGTTGCAATGCGCAAGTGACTGGGTCGAATTTCTCTTTGTTGGTTGATGATGATGATGATGATTTTTCAGGAAGGAGGATGTGGACTCCCTGTCGGGTTGGCTGGACACTGCATGGATATACACCGCCATGACTGATTATCCAACACCTTCGAATTTTCTGCAACCAATGCCAGCTTATCCGGTGCGAGAGATGTGCCGGGCGATGGATGATCCGAAGACCGGCAACGATTCCTTCGCCAAGCTCTTCGCCGCCGCTAGCGTCTATTATAACCACAGCGGAACCGCGCCCGCTTGTTTCGGTTTTGGCGACGATTATTATTCTGAGGAGCTCGGAGCCAACGGATGGAATTGGCAGGTACGCATTACAGAAAGTCAGAAACCCTCGTTCTTAGCTTCACGCCTTTAAAATTGAATCAAGTTTCTACCAAAAAAAATAATAATAATTTGAATCAAGTCTCTTGCCTCTTGACACTTCTAGAGACAAAACAATTTCATCAATCTTGGAGGTGAGTTTTTTTACGCACCATCGCAATTTTAATTAATCACATTTGCGATACAACATATTGTTCTTAGATAGGCTGCCACTGCCAAATGTTACACAAATGGAGATCCGTGTGTATCTCTATGTCAAAAAAGAAATAGAAAGAAGTAAAGAAGGAATATCGCGCGATTAAATTGCTAGGCTGCCACTGCCATATGTTACACAGATACTATTCATCAGCAACATAAAGTTGAATAATAATATTCTATTCATCAGCACTTTTACTATATGCTATAAAACATTGATGATTTAATGTATAATTTGAAGTCTACACGTTAAATGTATAAGTTTAGGTTATATTATAATACAACTTTACAATTTAAAGTTATACCGTATAAATGTACAAGTTCAAATTGTATTATAAAAAATCGGGTTGGTGAGAGTTGAGAGATCACATGGGTGACACTCACGCAGCAACAGCATAGGGGAAATCATTAAAACCCACTTTCCTTGTATTGGAATCCCGTCTGAAACCCCTGATAATGGCTTAATTAAGATAGGAGTCACGGCACGAAGAAAGGAAAACATAGCATATTTCTTCCACATGCTCAAATTTAATTTGTTTGTTTGTTTCTTTCTTTCTTTCTGATAATGTGTAGTTAGTTAGCATATTGGGATTGGAACCTCCACAATTTTGGTTCCAAGCTTTGACCTTGACCAAATTCCAATCTTAACGGGTCATAATAGAGAAAACCAAAACGTCCTTTTCACCTATTATTATTTGGTTTGGACCACCCAAATAGTGAGTACAAGTCGAGGCAGAATAAAGTATAATATACTGCCTGGGATTTGGAATTCAAATTCTTGCTTTTACTGCGAGCAATGAGACATGAGCTTGCTAGTTAAAGAAAATAATAATAATAATAACAAGTACTGTAGAGCATGAACTGATGGGTGGGCACGGGCAGGCATGCACAGAGATGGTGATGCCACAAGGAGCAAGCGACGAGGAAAGCATGTTCCCAGTCTCAGCCTGGAGCTTTGATAACAGCTCCTGCGACCCAATCTACAACATCTTCCCCCGCGCCCACTGGATCACCACTCACTTCGGCGGCCATGTAATTCTTTCTTTCTTTTTCTTTTTCTTTTTCTTTTTCATCAGGCAGGCAAGGCATGCCCAATTAATTAATGGGTTTCGATTTAAGCAGAAAATAGAGCAAGTGCTGAGGAGGTTCGGCAGCAACATCATCTTCTTCAATGGCTTAAGAGATCCTTGGAGCGGCGGAGGGTACGTACCTGTGGAATTAGTTAACTATAAATCATCTCAACTAACTAACTAACTAACTCAGTTTCTTCTGGTGCTGATTAACCATTATGATTGTGGGGTTTGACAGGGTGCTGCACAACATCTCCACCACCATAGTCGCCATTGTAGCAGAAAAAGGTGAGAGCGAGCTTGTTTTGATTCTCTGGGATTAATTATACTATTGTTATTACGCTGTCTAATCTCCAACTAGTGTTGAGTAATGTGTGTTTAGTTTAATCAATTGTACGTGTAAGAAAGAATCATGACCAATGTTTGAGGTGGCTACACTACACGTGGCAAACACAGGTGCTCACCATGTGGATCTAAGGTCCGCGACGAGGGAAGATCCAGAATGGCTTCGAGACGTGAGGAGATCAGAGATCCGAATCATTGGCAGGTGGCTGGCCCGGTACTATCATCACTTGGCTCATCCTCGGCCCAACCACAATAAGAGGAGGCCCAGAGTCCATGTCTATTAGGTTGTGGATAAGATGGAGAAAGTAAACAAATCCATCGAATTGGGTTGGTCATTAGAGTAGTAATATTGGCCAATGTTCATCACTACGGGTCACTCTGATAAGCCCAAACGTAGCCCACATCCATTTGTCACGGCAATTTAAGGAGAATTGAAGCGGACAACAAAATATAATTTTCATATAATTATTTACTAGCGCTGGGCTGGTCTCGTTGGCCGAGTAACTTTAGCATGACCATATCATTTAGTGCTTTCCACATAATATGCATAATAATGAAGTCTGAGCATGAAACTAAAGGGTTTTCCTCGAATGAATTTGAAAGTATCGATGAAGAGATTGTTCCAATAGTAATTTTCTTTGGGAAGAAACACCGCATGAGATATAGCTATAAAATTGATACATACAAATGAGATGTCACACTATGCAGAGTAATCAACAATACTAAGCTAGAGAATAATTTGCCTTCTTGGCGATTACCATACCACACGCAAATTTGAGATGAAGACTCAAATGATGCAGACATGACATTGCAAAAGTCACGACAATTACATTACTAGTCAATGAAAGTTTGACCGCTATAAATCCATACAGTGGTAAGTTTTAAACCTACAATGCCATCAAAATATTGGAATGAATGCTACAAAATTCACAAAATTGTGGCTCCTTGTCAATGGAAGTGTACAACAATTCTATGGTACCGTGACAGCACCGGTGCTGTCATTATCAAGATCATTGGGATTGACATTTACTCTGTGGGTCTGGTTTAGTAATTAAATTAAATAAAATTTAAATTAAAAGGTTAAAAAGCAAAAGCAAAGAAAGGCAGCTTCCTTTCTCTTCCACTCCTTTGTTCTCTGCTTGGTCATTCCGGCTTCCACTGTAATGTAAGGCCGACTCCATCGAAGTTGCATCGACAATCCACCGCAAAATCCGCAATTGTTGTTGCCGTCGATCGAACCATCACCACAAAAATACGGAACCCTTTGTTAGTGAAATTCACCCTCGTCATCGGCCTCGTCGTCACAGTCTGGTTATTGCCAGAATAATCGTCTTTGCCACTGATCGGCCATCACCTATGACGCGACCCCCGCCAGTCAAAATCACCATCATCATCTAGGGCGCGAGAAGATGATTATATCCAGATTCAACTGATTTTGCCTAATCTTTCAGTTGTTACCCTCTCTAATTCGTGCTCCTCCCCCTCATTTTAATCACCGTCGATTTCAATTTCCCCATCCGATTTGCCATGACTACTCAAATCCCAAACCACCGTCATAAAAAAACACGACCGTCATCAGCCCCGTTCTCGCTACCCAGTCATTCCCAACATAGTCTCTGTCGTGGCAATCGACATCATCATCGTCGTTGCGCTATTAGATCATTTTGTGTGTCTGTGTTCACCAACCCTTTCCGCCGGCGATCAAGAGAATACATACTGTATTTTCCGTTTTCCTTAGGAAACTTTTCAGCAGGGCAGGGTGCTTGGAACGAGAAGTAAAATAAGTTGGACCAGGTTCAACCTACTCTGGTTAATTATTTGTTATCACCAATGGTTCTGATTAAACATGTTAAATATAACGGTTAACAAGCTAGCGACACTAGTGCTGGCACGGTACTACAAACTTTTCCATGGAAGTGTAATCACTGTATAAATATATTTTTGTCATAAGCTGTAAATATATTCAATCCAATAGTGAGTTTCAAACATATTTGGTGAATACAATTTATTTATCAAATATTTCAAAATTTTTAAATTATTAGTCTAACCTTTTGAATACAAAATATTAGTCAAGTCTTTTGTAATGTATAAAAATATTAGTCATTTGTCTGTCACCGTAAGTAATTTTTTAAAACTTTTCTTAGTTAAAATTTAGAAATTTTGAGAATGTTGACCGCCGACCATGTGCCTCTTCAAAGTCAATATTAGTAACAAAAATGTTATATATTTTGTAGATTTTTTGTTATGATGTTTGTAAAAATTTTAATTGCCACATCATCAATATCACATTAATAGATAATACTTGATTGTCATATATTACGAACTTAATGTAATTGAATGGTCAGTGACTAACGATGAAACAAGGTTTAAAGCGAGTGATTAATAAGGAATATATTTTTGTTTGAGTGACAAATGTAAAACGACCAAACATATAATTTTTTCCTATTTTCTTACTTTTTGGTAATTAGCAATTTTTATTTGGTTGTATCTTCTTCGTGTTTAACTCAACTTTTCAAACTTTTTGCACAGATTAATTAAGAGAATCATGCCAAACTGTTGAATTTCACATATTTCTTAGAGATATTTAGGGACCAAATATACCATTCTTTACCACAGTATACCATAGTGGTAGATGATAGTAAATGGTGGTGGAAAGTAGTAGATGGTTGTTATTATATTACGAATATTATGTGTACAACAATTCTACGCTATTATATATTCATACATTATGTACTATGAAGTTATTATAATTATGATATATAGTTGTTAAATATAAATTTATTTTTTATACCAAAATATATCAAAGTGTACATAATTTTGAAGAGTACGTTTAATATGATGGTTTATTTCTTTTTTTAATTGGTTGTATCTTTTTTTCGTTTTTAACTTAGCTTTTGAATTTTTTTACACAGATTCATAACAAACTATTGAATTCCACATACATTTTAGAATATTTTGGGACCAAATATATCATTCTTTACCATCTTATACCATAGTGGTAGATGGTGGTAGATGATGGTGGAAAGTGGTAGATGGTTTTTACTATATTTTTACTTTCATGTATATAATAATTCTGCACTTCAAACATTATGTACTATAAATTTTTTACCGTCATGGCATCAACCTCTAAAATATAATTTTATATTTTATACTAAAATATATTAAAGTGTATGTCAGATTACCATTCATATATTTCGCAAAAAAATTAAATTTAGAATTAAAATAATAAGAAATAGTAACACCCTAGCCCGATCGAGCACTACTTTTATCAAATTGCCCTTGAGAAATCAAAATTTATTCAAAGCGAAAGGAATACTTAAAATATCATAAAATAATTTGAATTCACTATTGGAAGTCTCTCTTAACAAAATCATAGATGAGCATCAGTCTCAAGCCTACAAATAAAATTACATAAGTGAAGGTGGTTCACTTGGAAGCTTTTGCAATCACTAACCCTTGTGCCGATGACATCTCGAGCAACCATTTTATCTTAGTCGATGGTCTGAATACTCCTACTTGCTTGCAGCTCCTGAATGCGGGCGTTGGGGTGACCAGTCCTAATCATATATTTCATTCTCTACATATAATATAGAATCAAGCAACATGCATATGACTGCAAATGCTATGCAGTGTCTTAGTACATTACTAGGAGTTCTTGAACTTATAATTCTTGTTCACTTTCTAGGTATATTGCATCTTTTCTCTTATGACGGCCCCTACCTCGACTTAGCTGGCGCCACTATCTACGTGCTTACTTAACATAAGTTATGACCACCGTGTTACGTATTGTCATCCGTTGTCAAAACTGAGGTATGCCAACCGCGTTACGTATCGCCGTCCTGTTGCATACCTAAATATGAGCAATGAAAACTGCGTTACGTATCGCCATCCAGTTCCATGCTTGATCAACTACTGCGTTATGTATCGCTGTCCAATAGTATCATGAAAAATGACTAGCTAAGCCAGGTTAACTTGTTCTTACTTAGCTTGGTAACCAATACATGCTTGCCTTAATTAATCTCTCGCACCATGGAGAGATATAATTAAGTCTGACATACTTACATACTTGAAGAGGTTGGTGATTTTCCACACAATGGGAAGATCCAACTTAATAACTTTGGTTTGATCATGATTTTCTAATGAGCATGATACCACGCATAATGAACATAATTCATAAACTTGAGCATGATTCACAAACTTGAACATGTATCTCATAAACACATAACTCAACCATAAATAGCATATAAGAACATGCACTTGAAGATTGGTGTCCTTCACTTGAGTGATTCGCCTCTTGATTCTATGGCGAAAATCGAGTTTAGATCTGTTTGGTCTTCAGGTCTTTAGCGACAGTTTTCTGATCAATTTGGGACTACTTTGCAATATGTGCAAAGTATATGAGCTTGCTAAACTCTTATTAAATTTAGCCCCGACAATTGAAATCCTTAACTTAAATTCATCATATACTTAGTTTATCAATAAACTTAGGTTATCAATCAATAAGATTAACTAATAATTTTCTTGATGGGCCAAACCTGCTAAACTTACGCATTAACTACTCAGATTAACTTAACTCCTTTATCCGATTAATTATCATATTATCCGCTAATTAACTTATCATAATATCCACCCGTCGAAACCAATATTTGCTAACTCATAACTTAAATGATCATAACCTATTAACTTGCTTAAAAGCCTCTTAACAACATCATTCATCATATTATTGAATCATATATTTTGTTAACTCAAATTAAGACATTTTATTAGTTACTAACTTAATTTAACATCCTAATACTTGCACTAGCAAAATCCCTCGTAAATCAATTACAACATAATCCAATTGAATTAAAAGGTAAAAGCTTCAGCTCCTTTACAATCACCGAAACCGTCACTAAAAGGCTATGACATGATGACATCTCTTCCCTAAAAGAGATTGCAACTGATACTAGTTGGCCAAAATCCCCAAAATTGTACGAACTCGTATTTAGTTGCACAAACATCGATTTAATTCTAGGGGCCAGATATCCTTACTTTGTATTCGTGCATAGATCTAGATTTGAGTCGCTAGACTTGTCGTTCCTTGATTCGATCGGCCCGAGATTGTCGTTCTCGCCGTCGCCGTCAAACCTACTGTTCACAACCGTCGATTTGGTTAGTTATTGATGGATTTGACCTTAGAACTGAGATGGTTTCGTGATCCTGACAGATATTGGCCAACTCAAGGATTCGCAGAACCTGCTCCAGATCGAGGGTCGCCAGGGACGAAGGGAGCTTCAGCAGAAGGTTGAGCAAGAATCGGAATCCATGGCGAGGCAGCTTGCGCAGGTGTTTTAGTCCATACGCGGGGAGATGAGTCGTGAGATGCAGGTACTCCGGGACATCATGCGCCGGGAATTGCAGGAGTTTGCGAGGAACGGAGGGGAAAAGTTCGGCCCGAAGGTACTGATCGGGAGAAGCCATGGAATCCAAGGACGATTTATCAAATACCCCCGGAAGAGAAGCTGAAGGGCACGACAGGGGAGACGAACTCGGTAAAGGGAGGAAGTCACGGCGGGACTCCGAGTGTGCCGCAGCCACACGGGTCGAGCGCCGCGAAGGGATGAACAGGACCCCACGGGCCTAATGAGGCCATTGTTCGGAGCGGGATGGCCTGGGGAAACCTGGCCTTTAGCGACGATGAGGGAAAGCCAGTGGGGCGGTTCGATGAACGACACAGTTGTGCAAGAGGAGAAGACAGCACGGGGCACGACGGATTCCAGGAGATGCGGACCAAGACGGGAAGCACGCCAGGTGAGGAACGCGGAGGATCGGTGTAGGCGAGAGGCAATCCGGGAAGTAGGGGAGGACCAGTCAGCCGTTTGGACCTGGTACGAGGGGCTCGAGAGGAGGCTTGGAGGTGGCCGAGGAGAGGCGGCGGGGAATCCGGCCGCACTGAGCCGAACCGACCGATCGGACCCACCAACGGGTCGAGCGGGTCGAACCCCAGGGTTGACAAGCGAGGGAAGGCCCGTGCAGGGGATGAAGCGGTTGTCGCACTCTTTCGGGGGCGATCACCGACTTTAGAGTTTCCCAAATTCAGCGGGCAGGAAGATCCCTCCGGATGGCTAGCTCGGGTAGAGAAATACTTCAAATACCAGGCAATTCCCGAGGAGCAGAAGGTTGCACTGGCCTCATTCCACATGGAAGGAGATGCCTATCAGTGGATCATGTGGATTGAGGAGGAGTTCTGGCCGGATGGTATGGAGATGAACTGGGAGGATTTCCTAGCCGAATTTTGGAAGCGCTATGGAGCATCAGAGAAGGCCGCTGGGCATGAGGCTTTGGACAAAATCAAGCGGACTGGTACGGTAGAGGACTATCAGCAGGCATTCGAGAAGCTGCTCAACTGCTGTCGTGGTTGGAGTAAGGAAGCTGTAATGGGAACCTACATGGGCGGGCTCAAACTAGAAATTTCAACTTATATCCGTGCATTTGATCCTCGAAATACTGGCGAAGCCTATCATCTTGCGAAGATCCGCGAGGAGATCCGACTCGAGCGTGGGGCAGCAAGGGGACCACGTGTGCCTGTCCCGGTGCCGCACGAGGTAGCCGCCACCCCAGGTACTGGACATCTACACCCTCCTGCGCCGCAAAATCGAGCTCCGCCGCCAGCTGGGAGGCGAGTCTTTAGGCATCTGACTCCGGAGGAAGCTGCTAAGCGTCGCCGTGATGGTCTCTGCTACAATTGCGACGAGTGATTTACCATTGGCCATCGTTGTGCTAACAACCAGGTGTTTGCTATGATCGGGGATTTCGGTGGTGGAATGGAGGAATGGGCCGAGGAGGCTGCGCGACTTTCCAGTATATCATTTACAAAGTGCAGATAGAGGGATACCGGCTTTGATACCAAACTGTAATACCCTAGCCGAGCACTACTTTTATCAAATTGCCCTTGAGAAATCAAAATTTATTCAAAGCGAAAGGAATAATTAAAATATCATACAACAATTTGAATTCCTTATTGGAAATCTCTCTTAACAAAATCATAGATGAGCATCTGTCTCAATCCTACAAATAAAATTACAACTCGAGCAAGGTATGAAGCGAAAGCAGGCATTAGCTAGTCAAATCTCTATCGCAAGAGGAGCATGCACGGGTAGAGTGTGAGCATAAGAAAGGAATAGGGTATCATCATAGATGATCATACAAGCATCTTATGGAGGAGGATTAATGCATGATCATCTACAAAAGCCTACATAAACATTCATTTACTTGCTTTGATTTGTTTGTTTGCATTAGTATCTTAGAATTTCGCATACGGGCGTGTCAACCCAACTAGTTTTACTTTTGGCATTGCATACTCGAATACATTAGGTTAGGTTTGAGTAGTTACTTGATAACGTCATATTTGCACATGTTTGCACCCTGGTTTCTTGATCATTTTGGCTTGAGTTTTTGCTTTCTTGGACTATTTTATGCTAGGTTGTGTTCCTTTGTCACATTTCAGGTCCTAGCATGTAAATTGAAGCAAAGGCGCAAGTTTCAAGTCAATCGGAATTCATTTGGCAATTCGGGAGAAGAAACACGAGCATGACCTGAGGAAGAATGGACTTCTACCTCATATTATGGACAAATAATCATGGAATCTTGTCATTAAAAGATAGAGGACGAGACTACGAGCGTGTGGGATCAAACGACGACTGATTCGGAGTCCGAACGAGGGAAAAACGAAGCATTAAACAGGGGCGGAGGAAGAATTACGGGCAGGAGAATTACGACCGTATTTTCCCCTCCCATACCCGTATTTTCACTGCCGAGAGGAGCTTTGGATGCGCTGAAACTTAACCAAAACGCGTGTTTTGGGCAAAATACGGGCATGTAAGAATTACGACCGTATTTCTGCCCGTATTTCGCCCAGAATTGGGTTTTTGAGGCAGATTCGAGCCAAAGGAAAGGGAGAGTTGGGTTTTGGTTCCCAAACACCCAAGGGACGAACCCTAGAGAGAGAGAGCGACTTGGGAACATTCTTGGAGCTATTTTGGAGCATTTCCTCACCATTGGAGCTGGGGAATCAAGCTTGGAGATGGAGATTGAAGATCTAGATCAGATTTCTGCAATCTCTCTCTTCTCTATGGAGTAACTTCCCTTCACTTAGGTTTTGAGGAACTCTAGTTCCATGTGTTAGGATCTTTCTTGTATGAAGTTTTGGATGCTATATTGTTTGATTATAATCGATTGAGGCATGATTTATAGAGTCAATTGAAGCCTGATCATCTTCTCTTGATTTCTGCTTTAACCTATGATAGATAGAATCTGATTAGGTTAAGAGAGCTTCCTTGATTGATAGTGGTGAATTGGTTGTGCGAGAGTCAATCAATTCCATGCTTTGTACTTGAATTCATTCCAGTAGTGGAGATATGTGTGAATCACCTTAGTAGTCTATCCCGGTGAAGGCTAGTCGCCTGCCGGGTATTCTGTCTAAGAGGGCTTGGTCAGCTTAAGAGATTCCAAGCTAATTTAGGATCTTCCGCAGTTTAATCAACAGTAGATCAACCAAAGGTAATTGCAACTTGGACCTAATTGAGGAGCTAGGGGGAATCATACCTAAGTGAGTTCCCAACTTGTAATTAGTAGAGTAGTTTAGTAAATCAATCCTTAATCTAGTTTGCTAGATAATGAACTGAAGCTGAGTAATAGTAACTCTAAAGACCCATGGATTTGATATTTATTACTTGTGCCACTATACTGCAGTCCCTTTCATTGGTTACACTTGGCCATTGTTAGGTGTTGTGTCGTAGCGAGTCAAGTTTTTGGCACCGTTGCCAGGGACTTTCTAGATTATTAGGAAAGGCAGAAGTTTGTTACTTTAGCGTTTTTCTTTTCTTTTCCACCCTTGCTTTTCACTTGTGTGTTTTTTTGTTTTTGTTGGTGCAGATCTGAATCATGGATCCTCATGGCTTCTCCAACCATTGGGGGTATCCACCACCGTCCGAGTGGTATTACCACGAGACTCCCTGGAGCAATCAAGGAGGAGAAGACTATGGATTCGGGTTCCAGTACCAACCCCCTTACTATGGAGAACAATCAGACCCCTGGGCATATCAAGAACAACCTCCTTATCAAGAAGAATTTCTCCCACAACCAGAAGGGCCATCGGAGCTGGAGTTACCCTTGGCGACCTTCACGGGCCATCCGGAAGAGCCATGCTACACTCCACAGCTAGATCCAAACTATCACTTGAGGCTTCTCGTGGAGTAGATTGCTCGAGTACCAGAGAGATCCTTTCCCGAGATGGATCCTCATATCCAGGCCATTTCCGAAACTGACTTCTCCTACCCCCGTGAAACATAGGATACCCTTCGGAGCATAAAGAATCACATAGAGGTCATTGAGAAAGCTTGTTCACAGTTTTCTCAAGACAACCTTTATGCTGCCATACAAGTAGAGGAGGAAGAAAAAGGCAATCACGATGATGTTGAGGAGCATACAGAAGTTGTCACAGAAAGCTCCCATGGTAATCATGATCAAGTGTATCCTCTGGTGGTAGATCACAACTTCCACCATTTTCGCTCTGACATGCTGGGCCCGAGCGTGGAGATGCAAGCTGAACTTATTGAGAACCTTGCATGGCGACTAGCTCTCCAATCCGTGCTGGAAGAAGAAGAGCAAGAAAGGGTGCAGAAAGAAGTTGTGGAGGATGAAAAAAGTGAAGCAGAAGGAGTTTTTGATCTTTTCTCAGGGGTGATACCACATGAAGAAGGAAGGGGGGTTGAAGAAGCAATTGGCGTCCAGGCCGAGGATGAAGTTGAGGTGGAAGAGGCTTGCACCGGCCATGAGTTACATGTGCTATCTCCACCAAACTTCAAGGAATTGCTTAGCAAGGACCCATTTGCAGTGTCTCTTTGCCAGACCAAGGCCACATCGAAATTGGTCCCTCTTGGTGGACGCGATGGTGTCCATTTGACTCACTTCTACTGTCACTCTAGGAATTGGCCAAGTGAAACCACTTCCTAAAGCGTAGTATAGCGGGTTTAGGTTTAAATGTCAACCCGGGTCCTAGATTTGATGACTACTCGGTGAATTCTTGTTATCTAGCAATGAAACTTTAGTGCAGGTCTAAACTAACAAACAAGCAAAGCAACTAAACGGTTGTATACAGGTTAAGAGAGGTCACCCGGATATGGTTCCCCCTAGACTGCAGTTAAGCCGGATTGCAATTACCAAGTTCAGTTTCTATGATAGTTATACTGCGGAAGGTTCTTAAGTAGTCCGAAGTCTCGACTAAAGGTCTCCAGACCCTCTCAATCTGAGTCTCTAGCGGGCGACTAACCTCCACCGGAGTAAACAGATTGAGGCCTTAACAAACAAAACCTCCACTACCGGAGTGAATCCGGTACAGAATAGTGAGTTGGCTCCTCGACTAAAGTCACCAACTCCCTACCTTCAATCAAGGATGCTCTATCAACCTAGGCAGATATTCTCATTCTAGGTTAAAGCAGAAACAACAGGAATTTGATAAGGATTCAAGTCATTCAATCATTCAAGCCTCAATTGAATATAATCAAATCATAGAATCAGTACTTGGGTTCATAAAATCAAACCTAACCTACAAATCTAGGGTTCTCCATACCCAGATGAATGGGAGAACTACTCCATGGAGAAAGAAGCAAAAGCAGAATCAGACGCGGAATTCATACTGTGAAGGATGGATTCCTGCTCCTGGACGTTGATTGGCACTCCTCCAAGCTCAAGCCAAGCTCCAATGGCGATGAAGATCAAGCTAGGGCACTTGGAGACTCTTGTTTGTCGCTTTCTCTCTCTAGGAATCGCTCTATCTCTCTCAAAACTCGAATCCCCTTCTGTTTTGGCTGAAATCTGCTTAAAAGGGCATCACTGGGCAAAGCACGGTCGACGGCACGACCGTGCTTTGCCTCAGCCCGCCCGTGCTTTGGCTAGGGTTAATTACACGGCCAGCCTGTTGGGAGAAACACGGCCGTGCTTTTGGGTGGACACGGCCGTGCTTTGGTGGACACGGCCGTGTAATTTCTCAGCCCTGCCCATGTAATCAGCTCGTGTTTGCCAAA